GTTAGCTCTACAAATTACTCCTTATCAAACTATATCGCCTGTAGGGGCTGTCGAACGGGCAAGATTAATAAAAAGATAGCGATTCAATTCGAAAGCACATGCAAGAATTAAAAATCAAAACTTGTTAATCGAAATGGCTCTCAAATGAAAATAGCCCTTGCATATGAAAAAAATAATCCAGAGATAGTGTAACAAAATTTTCGAGTAAATTTCAGATAAGTGTCGCCTAATGAAATCCGGTTGAACCAAACGCAGGGGAAAGTACGATTAATGTGTCAACTTGATTGAAAGCGAATGCAAATAATAGTTTGTTGCGAAAAATCAGACCAATGAACTTATAAGCAACTTTCGGGAAAATTGAAGCATATGTGGAAACTTCCATTTCAGAGGGGTATGAATGAAAATGGCTGGTGCAAAAGCAGATGCGACAGGAGACCAGAAGATGTAGACTTATAAAAGAGGAGTGAGACAAATATATGTAGGGGTTCAGAGACAGACAAGGAAAAAAACCCGAGCTATTATGGGAGTAGTTCAAATTATTGGGATGCTAATCACTAAGACTTGCCTGCCACATCAATTGAACCCGGTTGGCATAAAGGAGGAGAGGAGGTGAGATGAGACGGATCGCGACAACAGGCTTCGCAGGCAATGTATCGAACCAGTTCGACTCGCTCATCAAGCCTTCCTGAATGGCTAGGCTGCGATCTTGCGGCCAAAATGTTGGAAGTGTGGGGGACCGAAACCCAGCCAGCCAGTCAGGCAAGCGGACTCGGATCCGGTATCTCGAGAAAGAGCGAAGTCCAGTGATCCGAAGCCTGACGCGATGTACGGTCGAGGCTTTCAGAAGACGGGTTTCATTGCCAAGTTCCAGAGGTGGATGGAGCTGCTGAGGATCAGATAGAGAAATGAATGTGAATAGGTGAACAGTCAATTGTTCGGAGGCCCGACGTCTCAGGAACTCAGCCAAATCAAGTTGGCTGCTCGATATGAACTCCGCGGAGGGCATCTAGATAGGAGATTGAAAGAAAATGAAAAGATTGCAGGAAAGCATATAGTAACTTGGTCAAAAAAGGTTTTGATGCTTCTTCAACAGGTTTATGCCTTTGGTACACTATCATAGAGATATGAATACATAAAACAGCAAAAATTAATAAATAGAAGGCTCTGAATTCAGTGTTCGAATTAAAAACCGTTCATATAAAGGCGATGCGTTTCAGTTTTCGGTGTCCAGTTTGAATGCTGCATATCAATAGGTATGATCACTGCACCTAAACTATGGCCACACAATTCCTATGGCTCATAAGCCTTTAATTCATAAAAAATATGTTTAGATAATATAAGTAAAATGTTAATAAAAAGTGTAGTCGCATAGCGTTATGAAGGAGTGACTGTTCGATTTTCAAATAATGATTATAGTAGACCACGCAATAATAATTATTTTAACTTATTATTATTCACAGTTTCGACTTCGCACAAGTTTCATAGCACCTCCAAAAGAATTGAAAACCCAATCTTGCGACCTTATGCGATGTAGGGAAAAAACAATTATTATTGAAAATTTCCTTGGGGTCTCGAAACCCACCATACTAGGAATACAAGTAGTGTAGTCGATTACAAAGGCAAATACGAGCTTGCTTCATCGATATGCCGAGCATAAGCGGTAAAGTTGGAGGGGCTTGGTTTGCAATGATAGTCACGTCTGTAAAATAACCCATTGACGCCTGTGGCTGTGTGGTATAGTAGTACTATGTCTCCATTTTACGCTCAGGACAACATTTCCAATCTCGTTGAAGGTGTAAATGAGACGCAGATGAGGTAGAAACTAGAGTCTATCTTGGGTAAAAGCATCATTTGAGAGGCAAGGCTAAATAACATTAAATGGTATCATGAGGTCTTTTTGGAAAATTTAGCCGTCATAAATCGGTTGTCCAATGATTTGATTCATGAACATTATAGAACATGAATAATAATTGCTATCCGAATGATACGCAGCTATGATACTGCTAATAAATTTAATCAGAGGTCGAAACTACAGTCCACCCTGGGTAAGAACAACTTTTGGGAAAGCAAGGCTATGTGAAATTCAATGAAAACGTCAGCTCAACTCATATCATCATCACCTTAGACGAAA